CTTCCCCGGCATAACCCGAGGACCTTTCCGGCACAACCCGATGACTTCCCCGGCATAACCCGATGACTTCCCTGGCATAACCCAATGACCTTTCTAGCATAACCCGCTGACTTCCCCGGCATAACCCGAAGACCTTTCCGGCATAACCCGATGACTTCCCCGACATAACCCGAGGACCTTTCTGGCATAACCCGATGACTTTCCCAGCATAACCCGAGACTTTTCCGGCATAACCCGATGATTTTTCCAGCATAACCTGGTAATTTTTTCCAACATAGGGTTCTATTCCCTAGCTGATGCCAGCATAACCTGGTAATCTTTTCCAACATAGGGTCCCACTCCCTAGCTTTGCCAACATAACCTGGTAATCTTTTCCGGCACAAGGTCCCATTCCTTAGTTTATGCCAGCATAACCTGGTAATCTTTCCAACTTAGGGCCTCTGATCCCCATTTGATTTTATTTTAGATAAATGGCTCCACTCCCTAATCTCTTTTCTCCCAAGGATACACAATCCTGATTTTATTGCTTTCAATAAAGAAGTAGTTTAGATTTTTTGTTACAATAACTCACGAAATTTTCCTAGTGAAAACTGGGGCAGAAAATTTCATTCGTTTGTTTATTTTGATCCCTGAACAGGTTTTTACCATAAGGCACGAGGTTTGAGATGACCAAAAGAAGAAGTCTCAATCCAAATAAAAGAAAAGAAAAGAAAAACCAGAAAAGAAGTTGAGCTCTAAGTGCAGAAGCGGATAAAAATGTGGACTGCTCAAGACATAATTGAAGTCACAAGCTTTGCATGTCCCGCTTTGATCCGAGAATTTGAAAAAGGAATGAACCAACACCTGTAGCTAACGAGCATCAATATTCAGATCAGAGTTTGCAGGAAGAACCAGCCAAGACTCAAGATCAATCTTTAGAAGGTTTATAGATAAGAATTTTGTAACTCATGGTTGATAGGCGTAGCTAGTTTAGTTTTTCATCTTTCATTTTGGTGTAATAAGGAGCTCAACAAGAAGAAACAACATCAACAACAGTGAAATCACAGTTTCTCGGTAGTCCTAACTACCAAAACTTTCAGAACTACACCGACCTGATTCCTTTATAGCCAAGGATATGTAGGCAATCTCCTAAGCAAGGTTTGGTCAAACTTTTTCAAAATGCTTCCAAATGGAGTTTCAAACGGGCAAAAATTGCTCGTAGGTGCTCACTTTATCTTTGCCCGAAAATTCTTCATGTTTCAAAGCAAAGAGGGGTAGCTGTAAGCACCTAATTTTTGCCCTGAATGGAAATAACTCCTAAAAATAGACCAAAATAATTTTAATTGATTTTTAAGAGTTTTTCTTTATTTAGTATTGTCACGTTTTAATTTCATGCCATTTTAGGTTCAATTTGCATGTAGAAATTAATTTTATTAAGCAAAAATCATAAAAATGGTCATTCTTACATATTTAGATTTTAGCCTTTAAAATTAGCATAAGTTAATTAGTTGTTTTAATGTTAAAAATAAATAAAGAATTTTAATTTCTACAAAATAGATTAATTTAGGAATTAATTAATTTAATTAGGATTTTTAAAATTAAAGAAAAGAAAAAAAAGAAAACAAAGAAAGAAAAGGGGGAATTAAGCTATTTTTAGGTCTAATTTCGGATAAAAACCATCAGATCTACCCTTTAATAAAAACCTAGACCTAAGACAAATAGAGATCAGATCTTAGACCTAGAACAAACCATCAGATCCTTAGACCCCAACCTAGCGCCGTTTATTCCCCCCAAAAAAAAAACAAAGATCAGAGACCTTCCCTAATTCCCTTCAGCAACGGCGCTACCACCACTACTTTCATCAGAAATCCTCGCCGTAGCTCCTCTTTAGATGCTCACCTAGTAGCTTATTTTCCCTCTTCTCCTTCTCCATAGCTTTCAAAATCGAATCCCCCCCTTAGAGACAAGAACGAGCAGCTAAAACCAAAAGAAGGATGAGACCTTCTCCTTGAACAAAAGAAGAGAGCTGCTGCTCAATGACCCCTCTTTTTGATTTCAAAAACAAAAGAACCACCATTAAAAGCTGTTGAATAATCTCCAAACCAACTGAAAAATACAGAAACAGAGCCTCTTCTTCGCTCAAAAACAACCGTTCCAAAGTTGAGCTCAAGAGCTCGTTGAGGTTCACGGCTACGTCTCTAGTTCAGGTTTTGTTGATAAGGTTTGATAATTTCTGGATTTTCAAGTTGATTTTTCGTTGGGATTATTGCTATTTTCTGCCGATTCTATGGCTGACTTCGCTGAGCCTTAGGCTTTGAAGTTTTTTTGTGATTTCATCTTTATTTGAGAGCTTTTCTTTGCTGTTGCTGGTTTTGCTGCTGAGGCCACTAGAATTAAGCCTTGACTTGGTCTTTTGGATTTAGGTCCAAGGTATGATTTCTAATTTCAAATGATGTAATGGTTGTTTGGATGGTGATATCTTATGAAATTCGTGATGATTATGCACCTAAACACTTGAAAATGCCTTGTTATAGCTATGTGGAAAATGTTTTCATATTTTAGTTTAGGAAATATTTTCTATGTTATTTTTAATGTTTGGTTGGTTAAAAATTAGGTGACACGTGATAATTGTATATGGTGGAGGATAGGATATGATGATAATGTTTTGGTTATATGTTGTAATGAATAGATTGTCTATGGGATTCTGATACTGTATAATACGTTGTTTTGGCACTAAATGTGGTCATTAGATTTTCCTTATGGGAATATCTTTTTATGACCTAGGATAATTAGTCAAAGATATATAAATCATAATAGAAATTAACAAATTGGCAACGAACAGTGAAGCATTTCTTTGCAGCGAGAGCCTTTCCTATGAAAAAAAGGAGCAGACAACTTTCTATGGTACTAAATTTTTTTAATCACCAACAGAATTACAAAACTTCAACTAGGCCACAACCATGAAACAATTCTAATTTCCGTAAATCATAAGCCTTTCACAAATAATCTTAAAGTAGTTTAGGAAAATAACTCATACATCCGTAGTTTGCTTTAGTTGAGTAAAATCTTTTGAAATATATTGAGGCGTGCCATACACAAATAAAATTCATAACCCATGACCCTCACATTAATAATAACTAGTGTAGAAAACACTTTGAACATCGTAGTTTGCTTTAGGTGCGTTTATAATAAAATCATTATAGCTACGAGTACAGTTCCCGTGACGTAGTTGTGATACCTAAATTTCAAATATGTAGGGAACATTTATGTGACCCGGCCACAACTTCTAATAACGTTAATAAATTATACATGTTGTAGATCGTGGGTACGGTTCCCGTGACATGATTCGCAATGTGTAAAACAAACAAGTGTATGACAATCGTAACTTGTTCCAGAATAATTCCATAAAATAATTAAAAGCGGTTTTAAAAGTTTAAAAATGCAGACTAGGTTTATAACATGTAGTAAATCAGATAATTAAGCCAATTTTAATAGTTTAAGCGGTCGTGCTCGAACCACGGAACCCGAGAATGCCTGACACCTTCTCCCGGGTTAACAGAATTCCTTATCTAGAATTTCTGGTTTCGCAGACTTTTAAATAAAGTCGATTTTCCTCGATTTGGGATTTAAAATAAATCGGTGACTTGGGACACCATAATATATTATCCCAAGTGGCAACTCTAAAATTAAATAAAATAATCCCATGTCGAATAATATCATTTTAATTGGAAAAACTCCCTTTAATATCCTTTCGGGTGGTAAAAATGAGGTGTGACAACAGGTTTATTGCTTAACTCACAACAACTTGTGAGCCCATCTTTAAGTTTCTGAAGAAGGATGCCGCGGTCAAATGGATTGATGACTGACAGAAGGCATTTGATAAGATTAAGGGGTACTTGTCAAACCCACATGTGTTGGTCCCGCCGGATCCCGGGAGACCTTTAATTCTCTACTTGACAGTCCTGGATAATTCATTCGATTGTGTGTTGGGTCAACACGACATCACTGGCAAGAAGGAGAAAGCCATTTATTATCTCAGCAAGAAGTTCACATCCTACGAGGTCAAGTATACTCTCCTTGAAAGGACATGTTGCGCCCTGATTTGGGTGGCACAAAAGTTAAAGCATTATCTGTCGTCCTACACTACTTATCTCATTTCTTGCATGGATGCTCTAAAGTATATCTTTCAAAAGCCTATGCCCACAGGAAAACTTGCAAAGTGGTAGATTTTGCTCATAGAGTTTGACATCATCTATGTGACTCGGATCGCGATGAAAGCCCAAGCCTGGCCAATCACTTGACAGAGAACCCGGTGGACGAAGAGTATGAGCCATTGAGGACTTAATTTCCTGATGAAGAGGTGATGCATATTGACAAGGTTGAGCAGGATGAAAAGCCAGGTTGGAAACTTTTCTTTGATGGAGCCGCTAACATAAAAGGTGTCGGAATAAGGGCTGTGCTCATTTCTGAAACAGGGCATCACTACCCTGTTACAGCCCAACTTCGTTTCTATTGCACCAACAACATGGCTGAGTACAAGACATGCATTCTGGGTTTGAGGTTAGCTGTAGACATGGGAGTTTAGGAAGTATTGGTTTTGGGAGATTCAGATCTAATAGTGCACCAGATTCAGGGAGAATGGGAGACTCGAGATTTAAAGCTCATACCGTATCGACAATGTCTGCATGATCTTTGTCTACGATTCAGATTAGTAGAGTTCAGGCGTATTTCTAGGATCCATAATGAGGTTTCCGACGCCTTGGCTACTCTGCGTCAATGTTACACCACCCGGATAAGGGTTATGTCGACCCTTTGCATATTTAAGTTCGTGATCAACATGCTTATTGTAATATGGTTGAGGAGGAACTTGATGGTGAACCTTGGCTCCACGATATCAGGGAGTACATCAAATCGGGGGTATATCCGGTACAGGCCACATGTGATCAAAAGAGAACGATTCGACGCTTGGTTAGTGGATTTTTCTTGAGCAGGGGAGTCTTGTACAAAAGAACTCCAGATCTTGGACTGCTGAGGTGCATAAATGCTAAATAAGCTTCGACCATCATGGTCGAAGTGCATTCCGGAGTTTGCGGGCCGCATATGAGCGGATATGTTTTGGCAAAGAAAATTCTTCGATCAGCTTATTATTGGCTCACCATGGAACGAGATTGCATCAGCTTTGTACGCAAATGTCATCAATTCCAGGTGCACGATGATCTAATTCATTCTCCGCCATCTGAGTTGCACACAATGTCTGCACCTTGGCCCTTTGTTGCTTGGGGCATGGATGTCATTGGACCAATTGAGTCAGCAACATCGAACGGGCACAGTTTTATTCTGGTGGCCATCGATTATTTCACCAAGTGGGTCGAAGCTGTAACTTCCAAATATGTGACCAAGAAGGCAGTGGTGGATTTTATCCATTCAAATCTCATTTGTCGGTTCAGAATCCCCAAGGTAATCATTACAAATAGTGCTGCTAATCTCAACAGCCATTTGATGAAAGGGGTATGCCAACAGTTCAAGATTATGCATTGAAATTCCACTCCGTATCGCCCCAAGGCAAATAGAGCTGTTGAGGCAGCTAACAAGAACATAAAGAAGATACTTCGCAAGATGATGCAAGGTTCTAGGCAATGACATGAAAAGTTGCCTTTTGCTTTATTAGGTTATCGCACTACTGTTCGCACTTGATAACTAGGGACTATTTGGTACACATTTTCAATCAGAACTCAAGCGGTATTCTATGCATACCCTCCACCCGGATGCCTTTTGGGTTGTGTAATGCACCGGCTATATTTCAGCGGTGTATGATAGCCATTTTCACCGATATAGTGGAAGATATTTTGGAGGTATTCATAGAAAAATCTTGATAGAGTGTTGGCCCGTTGTGAAGAAACCAATCTTGTTCTTAATTGGGAGAAATGCCACTTCATGGTTGAGGGGGGCATAGTTCTTGGGCATAAAATTTCAAAACATGGTATAGAAGTGGACAAAACAAAAATCGATGTGATTTCAAGGCTTCCTCCCCTACCTTTGTCAAGGGAGTTAGAAGTTTTCTTGGGCATGTGGGTTTCTACCGGAGATTTATCAAAGACTTTTCGA